CCTACATGACCTGAGCTTCCTCCTCCTCCAGAGATGGACCCTCTCCTGCCTGAGCTGCCTCCATATCCTGAACCTCCTCCATACCCAGAGCTCCCTCCATACCCTGAGCCTCCTTCTCCCCCACCAATGCCTCCACCACTGCCATAACTGGAACCTCCATGACCTGAGCTTCCTCCTCCTCCAGAGATGGACCCTCTCCTGCCTGAGCTCCCTCCATACCCTGAGCTCCCTCCATATCCAGAGCTCCCTCCATACCCTGAACCACCTTCTCCCCCACAGATGGATCCACCACTGCCATAACTGGATCCTCCATGACCTGAGCTTCCTCCTCCTCCTCCTCCTCCAGAGATGGAACCTCTCCTGCCTGAGCTGCCTCCATATCCTGAACCTCCTCCATACCCAGAGCTCCCTCCATACCCTGAGCCTCCTTCTCCCCCACCAATGCCTCCACCACTGCCATAACTGGAACCTCCATGACCTGAGCTCCCTCCTCCAGAGATGGAGCCTCTTCTACCTGAGCTGCCTCCATATCCGGAGCCTCCTCCATGTCCAGAGCTCCCTCCATACCCTGAGCCTCCTTCTCCCCCACAGATGGATCCACCACTGCCATAACTGGATCCTCCATGACCTGAGCTTCCTCCTCCTCCTCCTCCTCCAGAGATGGAACCTCTCCTGCCTGAGCTGCCTCCATATCCTGAACCTCCTCCATACCCAGAGCTCCCTCCATATCCTGAGCCTCCTTCTCCCCCTGCAATGCCTCCACCACTGCCATAACTGGAACCTCCATGACCTGAGCTTCCTCCTCCTCCAGAGATGGAGCCTCTCCTGCCTGAGCTCCCTCCATATCCAGAGCCTCCTCCATGTCCAGAGCTCCCTCCATACCCTGAACCTCCTCCTCCACAGATGGATCCACCACTGCCATAACTGGATCCACCATGACCTGAGCTTCCTCCTCCTCCAGAGATGGAGCCTCTCCTGCCTGAGCTCCCTCCATACCCTGAGCTCCCTCCATACCCTGAACCTCCCCCATATCCAGAACCTCCTCCATACCCTGAACCACCTTCTCCCCCTCCAATGCACCCACCACTGCCATAACTGGAACCTCCATGACCTGAGCTTCCTCCTCCTCCTCCTCCAGAGATGGAGCCTCTCCTACCTGAGCTCCCTCCATATCCTGAGCTCCCTCCATACCCTGAACCACCTTCTCCACCTCCAATGCACCCACCAGAGCTCAAACCTGAGCTTCCTCCTCCAGAGATGGACCCTCTCCTGCCTGAGCTGCCTCCATATCCTGAACCTCCTCCGTATCCAGAGCTTCCTCCATATCCTGAACCTCCTTCTCCCCCTCCAATGCACCCACCAGAACTCGATCCTATGTGACCTGAGCTTCCTCCTCCAGAGATGGAGCCTCTCCTGCCTGAGCTCCCTCCATATCCTGAGCTCCCTCCATACCCTGAGCTCCCTCCATACCCAGAGCTCCCTCCACACCCTGAGCCTCCTTCTCCCCCTCCAATGCCTCCACCACTGCCATAACTGGAACCTCCATGACCTGAGCTTCCTCCTCCTCCAGAGATGGAGCCTCTCCTGCCTGAGCTGCCTCCATACCCTGAGCTCCCTCCATATCCAGAGCCTCCTCCGTATCCAGAGCTTCCTCCATATCCTGAACCTCCATACCCTGAGCTCCCTCCATACCCTGAACCTCCTTCTCCACCTCCAATGCACCCACCAGAACTTGATCCTATGTGACCTGAGCTTCCTCCTCCAGAGATGGACCCTCTCCTGCCTGAGCTCCCTCCATACCCTGAGCTCCCTCCATACCCTGAGCTCCCTCCATACCCTGAGCTCNTGAGCTTCCTCCTCCTCCAGAGATGGAGCCTCTCCTGCCTGAGCTCCCTCCATACCCTGAACCACCTTCTCCCCCACAGATGGATCCACCACTGCCATAACTGGATCCACCATGACCTGAGCTTCCTCCTCCTCCAGAGATGGAGCCTCTCCTGCCTGAGCTCCCTCCTCCAGAGATGGAACCTCTCCTGCCTGAGCTGCCTCCATACCCAGAGCTCCCTCCATATCCTGAACCTCCTCCATACCCAGAGCTCCCTCCATACCCTGAACCTCCTTCTCCCCCACCAATGCACCCACCAGAGCTTGATCCTCCATGACCTGAGCTTCCTCCTCCAGAGATGGAACCTCTCCTGCCTGAGCTCCCTCCATACCCTGAGCTCCCCCCTCCATACCCTGAACCACCTTCTCCCCCTCCAATGCACCCACCACTGCCATAACTGGATCCACCATGACCTGAGCTTCCTCCTCCTCCTCCTCCTCCAGAGATGGAGCCTCTCCTGCCTGAGCTCCCTCCATATCCAGAGCTCCCTCCATATCCCGAGCCTCCTTCTCCACCTCCAATGCACCCACCAGAGCTCAAACCTGAGCTTCCTCCTCCAGAGATAGAGCCTCTCCTCCCTGAGCTCCCTCCACACCCTGAGCTCCCTCCATACCCTGAGCTCCCTCCATACCCTGAACCACCTTCACCCCCTGCAATGCCTCCACCACTGCCATAACTGGATCCATCATGACCTGAGCTTCCTCCTCCTCCAGAGATGGAGCCTCTCCTACCTGAGCTGCCTCCATATCCTGAGCTCCCTCCATATCCAGAGCCTCCTCCATGTCCAGAGCTTCCTCCATACCCTGAACCTCCTTCTCCCCCACCAATGCACCCACCACTGCCATAACTGGATCCTCCATGGCCTGAGCTTCCTCCTCCTCCAGAGATGGAACCTCTCCTGCCTGAGCTGCCTCCATACCCTGAGCTCCCTCCATACCCTGAACCTCCTTCTCCACCTCCAATGCACCCACTAGAACTCGATCCTATGTGACCTGAGCTTCCTCCTCCAGAGATGGAGCCTCTCCTGCCTGAGCTCCCTCCATACCCTGAGCTCCCTCCATACCCTGAACCTCCATACCCTGAGCTCCCTCCATACCCTGAACCA